GTACATGCACATGGAGGTCAGGGTCAATGTCTTATGCCTTGTTCAATCACTTCTCCACCTCTGTCTGTCTGTCTGTCTGTCTGTCTGTCTGTCTGTCTGTCTCTCTGTCGTGTGTGTGCATGTGGAAATCAGAAGACAGCCTTGAGTGTTGGTCCTTACCTTTCACCTTGTTTGGGACAGGGTCTCTTGGTTTCTCTTGTCTCCCCCACAGGAAGCTGATAGTCTTTTACAGACTGCAGATGGGTCCAGCTTTTACATGGTAACTGGGGATTTGAACTCAAGTCCCCATGCTTGTGTGGTAAATATCTTCCCAACCGAGCAGTCTCCCAGCTCTTCCATCTTTCCGTCCTTCTTTTCCCTTCTCTCCCTCTCCATTCTTTCTGTGAGTTTATTTTTAGCACAGGCTCTCCTATAGCACCATCTGGCTTTGAACTTGCTATGGAGCCAAGGTTGACCTCGAACTTGGCCCTTCTGCCTCCACCTCCAGGGTGCTGGGATTACAGGTGTGCACTGCCACACCTAGTCATTTGTTTCCTGTGGTGCTTTGGTCATGCTTGGGTGTTCCAGTTACTTGTCCCAACCAAGGCCGCTCAGGGAAGGGTTTATTTGGTCTAGTCCATCCTGGAAGGGAAGGCACAGCGAGCCGAGCTCGAGGCAGCCGTCGGGGAAGCGCAGAGGTGGAGCAGCCCAGCTCACTTCTCCTCCACCCCTGCAATGGTACCTCCTGCACTGCGTGGGGGGCTTCAGTCTCCGCTCGGCCTAGACTTCCTCACCGAGCTGACCAGATGTTTGTCTCCTAGGTGACCAGCTCCTGCCTGGTCCACAATCAATGCTAACACTCACAGGAGGCATTCACTCTCTCCCACTCTCCTCAGCTGCTTCTGCAGCCCTGCCTCTTCCTTTTTGGATGGGTGAGAGGAAACGCAGTGCACGGTCTGGATAGTTCCCCTGACAACAGCGGTACAGTCAAGGACCAAAGAGGCCGAGGAAGCTCAAAAGGCCAGCTGTGGCTGGGCCTACAAGGCAGGAAGCACTTTCCCAATCACCTCTTGGAACCTCCCTGATTGTGACTCCAGCAGGTTAACTCCCTTGGCCAAGGCTCCCAGGTCCGGGGATACCCCATGCGCATGCCGCACTTGTGTGGTGGAAGGGACCATCAGAGGCTTCTCCCTTTTCCGACCCTGGGTCAGTGACCTGAGAGGTAGGTGATGTGTGTCCTCTTGACTGACGCAGAGAGGGGCCAGTGATAACTTCCCTGAAGCCCCTTCGCCTGTAACTTGTCTAAGGAGGACATCTGTTCCACTGAGGAGCTGCAAGCTGCCCTGACGTGGGTCCCAAGTGGCTGTGTGGCGTGGGGCAATGGCCCCATGGCTTTAGTGAGTGACTCACTTCTGCCGTGCTGAGCTCCCGAAACGTGAGGCTCTATCTCCACAGCGCAGGCCAGCCTAACAGCTGATGGATCCACTCTCCCACTCTCAGGGCCCCACCCTGGCATGGGAAGCTGGGTGAGCAATAACAACCCCCTGGCCTGTGGGGAGCCCTGGCTCTGTTGCTTCCTTCTGAAAGGACTTGAGCTATGCATGCTGAGCTACGCAGCTGCAGGGACATGATGCCTTGGAGACGAGATGTCTTGTCCAAGCCTGGTCTTTGGCTGCATCTGCCCTGGACTGATGTGGGGCAGCCTGGCTCCTCTGTGGAGTTTTTCTAAACCTGGCGGAGCCACGTGGAGCCTGGGCACAGCTGAGGTCCTTCAAGTGAGCACCCTCTGGAGCCAGTCACAGGCACAAAAGCCCAGCTGCTGCTGGCAGGGTGGAGGGACATCTGTGCCTCTCTCTCAGGTGCTTCTGCCAGCTCAGAGGCCAGGTGGTACCCTTGGGCCAAGGAAGGTCTGGCTAGCTGCAGCTTGGTATGTGGGGACTCACGGCTCTGGGCCTCCCGGCCCATGCTTGTCTTCTCCCACCTGATTTTTTCCTGTCTTAGGTACCAACTCCAGCTGGAATGCCTGCCTGCCCACCTGCCCAGTGAATACTGTCTACTTCTCACATCTGACCACTCCTCACCACCCTGCGGGGGCTTGAAGTCTGTCCTCACTCACCTTCTTCCCTTTTCCTGTTGGATTCTGTCACTTTGTGTGTGTGTGTGTGTGTGTGTGTGTGTGTGTGTGTGTGTGTGTGTGTGTGTGTTTAGGTTTTTTTGTTTGTTTGTTTGTTTTTTGTTTTTTGTTTGTTCTTTTGAGACAGTGTTTCTCTGTGTAGCTTTGCGCCTTTCCTGGAACTCGCTTTGTAGCCCAGGCTGGCCTTGAACTCACAGAGATCCACCTGCCTCTGCCTCCCGAGTGCTGGGATTAAAGGCATGCGCCACCATTGCACGGCAAGAAACTTTTACTATGGCCAAGGTGTTTTTTGTTTTTTGGTTTTTTTTTGGTTTTTTTTTGGGGGGGGGTTGTTTTGGGAGAAGCTTCTGATGGTTCCTTTGACCACACAAGTGCGACAGGAGCATGGGAGGGCTGGGATTAAAGGCGTGCGCCACCACTGCCCGGCTTAGTATTTTCTTGTTGATGTTGTTTTTGAAGCAGAGTTTCACTGTGCAGCCCAGGCTAGCCCAGAACTCACCATGTAGACCAGGCAAGGGACTCTTGGCAATCCTCCCGAGCACTGGGAATTTAAGGGTGAGCCGTCATGCCTGGCTTTGGGGTTCCTCCTCTACCTCCCCCCTCTCTCCCCCACTCCCTTCTTTTCTCTCTTACACTGCTGGGGATTGGACCTCACACACGCTAGATGCATCAGTCACTTTTCTTGTCGCTGTGACAAAATGCTTAGCAAAAGGGGCTGGAGGGAGGGGAGGGCTTATTCTGGCTCACAGCTTTGGGGTGCAGTCCGTCACGGTGAGAAAGGCTTGATGGGATGGCAGGAGCTGGAGGCAGCAGGTCACACGGCACCCATGGTGCAGAATCAGAGACGGAAAGTGGGGTTCACCCCACTGTCTCCTCTCACCCAGCCTGGGTCCCCAGCCCGCGGGACGGTGCTATTCACTTTGGGGGGCGGGTCTTCCCATCTCAGTTAACCCAATCCGGGAACTCCTGCATGTGCTCGCCCAGAAGTTCGTCTCCTAGGTGACTTGGGGTGCTCTCAGAGTGACAATAGTGACTGCCACACCAGGAAAGCACACTACGCCTGTGCTATATCCCTGCACACTCTGCCGCTTTAGCACGGCCCCGGTCACTTGCTTGTACGTCCCGTGGTTGAACTGTCCTGTGAGACAAGAACGGTGCCAGGACCTGGCTTGGCACGAGAGGGCTGCTTTGTGTTGGGGCCTGGGCTCAGCAGTGCCCATTCTGCTGTGGCCGTCTGCGCTCACGCTCTGTCCTGGACCTGCCACACACCCGCTGTGCCCAGGCTCCTCTGAGGCCACCCTGAGCTCACACGCCCGTCACACACACTTAGGAAACTACTGTATGGCTGCTCCTGAGTTGGTGGGGGTTGCCCTGGAAAGAGCCAGAAATGAGGTCCAGGTGGATGGCTGGGGAGACTCTGTGGGGTTGCATGTGTGCGTGTGTGTGTGTGTGTGTGTGTGTGTGTGTGTGTGTGTGTGTGTGCTGAGGGAGCAAGAAGGGAGAGAAACCTGGGCAAGGGGTGCCTGGGGCTCCATCCGAGCTGGGAGCTTCTCATCCCTTCCATCATCCCAACCTCTACAAGTGGCCAGGAGAAGGTCCACAGGGAAAGCAGGCCACTGGGAAAGGCTCCTGCTGGAAACTCCTTGCTGTTTGGAGGCACACACAGAGGAGGAACCAGCTTGGGTATGTCCCTGTCCTACTGTGATAAAGACCAGAAGCAACTTGGGGAGGAGAGGGTTAACTTGGTTTCCGTGTGCCAATCACAGTCCATCATGAAGGGAAGGCAGGGCAGGAGCTCAGAGAGGAACCCAGAGGCAGGAACTGAAGCAGAGGCCATGGAGGGTGCAGCCTTTTCCCCATGGCTTGCTCAGCCTGCCTTCTTATACAACCCAGGACCACCTGCTCAGGGGTGGCACCACCCCCAGTGGGCGGGGCCTCCCACATCAGTCATTAACCAAGAAAATGTCCCACGGACTTGCCTACAGGACAGTCTGATGATGGACTTGCCTACAGGACAGTCTGATGATGGACTTGCCTACAGGACAGTCTGATGATGGACTTGCCTACAGGACAGTCTGATGGAGGCATTTTCTCAGTTGGGGTTCCCTCTTCCCAGATGACCCCAGCTTGTGTCAAGCTGATGAAAATCATCCAGCACAGCCCCCTTCCTGGAGGCCACCGGGGAAGTGTCCAGCAGGCTCCCCTTTTACAAAGAAATAAACTGAAACCCGGAAGCCCACCCAGAGAGGTCAGTCAACAGCTGGGAATACAGCTGAGTGGTCGAGTGCTTGCCTAGCATGTGCAGAGTCCTCCTGGAGAGACAGAGACACACATAGAGAGAGACAGAGGCACAGAGAGAGACAGAGACAGAGAGAATATGATAGGTTTGATGGGTTGCCTTGCAGGTGTTCAAGTCTTCTCAAGACTGGAAATGAATGCTTTCTTCTTTTCAAAGTCCCCTGCCTGCCACAGTACCTCTGAAAGTGGACCGTTGAATGCTCACAATGCCAAGGCTACAGTTCCAGATGAAACGCTCAGGCAGGACCAGGTCACATCCTGGCATGGGGAAACTGGTCCACTGTAGCCCTTCTGTCCCTTGAGTCAGGTCATAAAGGGGCAGCCATGGCCCTCACCACCCAGAGCTGTCAGGGATGGTCCCAGGAGTCAGGACACAGACTCCTCAAGCTGAGCAAGGGCCTTCCCAGAGGTTCTGCAGGTGAACGTCCCATTGCTGAGGCTCAAGACCGGCAGTGGTGAGGGCAGACCTCCCCAGGGACCCAGTATCTTATCTCGTTCCGCTCATCTGTGTCTGACCGGGCACATACGTGTTGTGCCGTTACAGATAAACGATAGGGTCTGACACTTGGTCACATAGGTACTTGACATCCTACCGGGGTGACAGCCAGGTCTGCCCACCCCTTGACTGTCAATGGAAGGCAGAGCTATGAACCTCACCTCATGGTGAGTACCCTGTCCCCAACGTGGTTCCTGGGACCTCTGTGATGAACAGAGCAGTCTCTCACTGGGGTCAGGGACCCAACCAGCATCCCTGTGCATACCATGAGCCAATTGAGTAGCTGCGGACCTTGAGTCTCACTGGGGAATGTCTCTCTGATTTCCTGGCTTCCACCTGTCCTGACTCATCCTCCAGTCCTTCATTGCTCCATCGTGGATCCCCATCCTGGGGGACCAGCAGTGAAGTTGCCTAGCTTCATACCTGCCGGGTCCCAGAAAGACAGCTTGACCTGGACCCAGGCAGGGGGTCCTCGAGTGTCCACACACACACACACACACACACACACACACACACACACACCCCTTTCCCAAAGCAAGGGCAGCGCCGCCCTTGCCTGCCTGGGGAGTGGATTTGAAGCACGGATGCAGTTGCCTGGTTTCCATTAATTGGGTCTACGCGGGTTTCTATTTTCTCCCAGAATACCGATTGATCTCGGCGAGGTAAACAGCACCGCCAAAATTGGGGGGGGGGGTGCCGAGGGAGGTGGGGATAACTGATGTGACTTGACATTTACTCAGAGAGGGGGGAGGGAGGAGGTGAGTCACACAGCAGAGGAGCCTCAGCCCACAGGTTCTGCCGAAGGAGCTGAGGGAGGGAGGCAGGGAGGCGGGCAGGAGGGAGCCAGCAAGCCTCTGATCTGCTTTAGCAGACCCTGGGGAGTCCTGGGGGGCTCTCCACGCCGGGGGGGGGGGTCACTGGGTTTTTTAATGGCTGTGTGCTTTTGGAGGTGGGGGCCCTGGATGAGGGTGGGACAGAGCTGACGGATTCCAGTGTGGGACTGAGAGCCTCCGTCTCCTACTCTCTCCCCCTTCTTCCCTCTCTCCTCCCTCTTCTTCCTTCTCCTTCCTCTCCCTCTCTCTCCCTCCCCTTCTCTCTATTTTTTTTTAAATCTCAGATCACCTTGCAAGTGAGAGGAAGTGGGGCTGGAGGGGAGATAGGCAGGAAGAAGGGGGCGCTTGGTAGCCCCATCTCTTCCTTCCTCCTCCAAAAAACCCCTGCTCAACAATTCCTGCTCCTGGATAACTCAGTTTCCCTACTTAGTGCTACTTGCTTGCATTAGCATCTGCAGGAGGCATGGTGACAATTGGGGAGCTGCAGATCCAGGGGAGGGCCACAGTTAGAGGCCTTGCTCCCTCAAAACTCTGTCCCCTTGTTACCCTTCACTTCCGCCACCTGCCGCAGCTGGGGAAGTCCTCTCCATCCACCCATCAAGAGTGTCCATCAGTCTGCTGGTGGCTCAGTCCCGAGGGAACTATCTACCTAGCCTGGCTTCCCTGGGTGGCCTTTGTCCCTTCCTGCCTGGGACATCACTCCACCGGGCTCCCATGCTGTAGCTTACTCTTGTTCCTGTTGCTTAAGATTTGCCTGTCCTGACTGCCCTGGGGAGACTCTTCCTCTGGATATCAGAGGGCAGGGCTGTTTTTTTGTTTTTTTTTCTCCAGTTTCCACAATCCAACACCAAATACAGCCATCCCCAAAACCTTTATCTGGTCTCATATTCTCTGTGCTACCAGTCCCGGAGCCTGTGACTGGAGCCTGGCCTTTCCCAGGCCCCTCCCTCACTGCAGCCTCCCCAAGAGCAGTCTACGTGGAGTGTGCCTGGCTGCGCCTCTTCAGCTCCCACACTCCAACCTTGTCCGTCCTGTAGCCCCGCCCAGCACCAGGCTCCTGTCCCTACAGCCCCGTGCTGGGCTCTCAGCCTCTGTAGCTGCCACTCTTGTCTCAGCGTCTCAGCGGACCTTCTTAGTGATGGCCTCAGGTGAAAGGGTGGTTTTCTCTGGGCTCTGGACTTCTGGGTTTCTGTGACGTCTGCTGTCTATCTTGTAGCTTCCCTTGGAGCTGGTGTGGCTACTGTCTGTTTTCAGGACTGGGCCCTGCTTACCCATGGTGCTCTGCACAGCGTCTGTGAGGCAAACTGAGGTCTGGATGGTTTTCATTTCTCTTCAGGCCATAGCTTGTTGTTCCGGAGTCACTCGCTGACTACCATCTCTCTTCCTGCGCTACAGGGGATAGAACCCAGGATCTCACACATGTTAAGCTCTATCCACAAGCCACACCCACAGAATCATCTCTTAAACATTCCTGTCTACTTCCCCTCTCAAGGGCCGATTAAATTCCATCTTTTCTAGAATATGCAACCTCTTCATTCTATGCGTCTCTGAAATACACTTTGGATATTTTGTTTTAAATTTGATTTTTCCCCAACTTAATATTTTTTTAATTATTTGGGAATTTACATACAATGCATCCTTATCACACTCACTTCCCATTCCTCCCAGGTTCACCCTCCCACCCTTGTGCCCCCCCAAAAAATCTCCACCAAGTACAATTTGTGTTGCCCATATACTCACTGGAGCATGGTCAAACCTCCAGTGGCCAGCCCCTTAACGATAACTGAGTCCTCACCCCACCCCTAGAAGCCACCATCCACTGTGAAGAGCTACACTTCTGTATCTTTATCACAGGGTTTTTTTTTTTTTTTTTTTTTTTTCCTGTCAAGGTTTCTCTGTGTAGCTTTGCGCCTTTCCTGGAACTCACTTTGTAGACCAGGCTGGCCTGGAACTCACAGAGATCTGTCTGCCTCTGTCTCCCGAGTGCTGGGATTAAAGGCATGCACCACCACCGCCCGGCTTATCATAGTTTTTAAAGGACTCTCTTCAATGGCTCCCTGTGTGACTGTTTCTTCCTTGCCCATGGCAGCCAGTGGCAACAAGGATCGTGGACTTCCATGTGGTTTCCAGTGGCCGCACAGATCGTGGACATCACCTTGGCTGCCGGCAGCAGCATGAACCACAGACATCAACGAAGTCTCTGTTGGCAGTACAGACCACGGACATTGGCATGGTCTCTGGCAGCAGCAGAGACCACAGAAGCCTTTCAAGGAGACTTGGTCCAGAAAATGAACCATTCTTCCGCTCAGATATCTTGTTGTGGCTCAGAGTCAGGGTGATTGTGTGGTTGGGCATCGTGTTCAGGGTGGTGGTGGTGGGCAGGACTGTTGCCAGCTCCAGGCTGCTGTACACACCCTGCCCTCTTCACTGGCTGCCCTGCAGTATCCCGGGCATGACCAGCCAGTTTGCAGCTCAGCACCGACATGCTCCTCGTTCCTCCACCACGTCTCCAGTCCTGCTTCTCTCCACTATGCGTGGCCTCCATCCCTCCATCTTTCCCATCTCTCTATCGCACATTCATTTATTAGGGTGGTACTGCAATCTGCTGTGTGTCACACAGTATATTATTTTGCCCAAACAGCTTCACATGAAAATACTTATTGCAACAAATCATTGAGCTGGTGCAAGGTTTCTGAAGCACCATAATACTGGAATATTGCTGAGACTCATTTGGGATATCCTGTTGTTGCCCAGAGTCAGGGTGGGCAGTGAGTCCAGGGGCAGGACCTGTGTGGAGCCTGTGCCTTCCTCCCCACAATGGTGGCAGCGGCAGTGGCGTGGCATCACGCCACGGACCTTACATTTTATTTTGAAAGATTTATTTTATGTGTATGATATTTTGTCTGACTGTATGTATGTGTGTCTACCATGTGTGTGCCGGGTGCCCACGGAGATCAGAAGAGGCATCGGATCACTTAGAGCTGGAATTATAGATGGTTGTGAGCTGACGTGTAGGTGCTAGGAACCTAACCTGGCTCTTCTGCACGAGTCGCAAGTGCTCTTAACAGCTGAGCCATATCTTCAGCTCATTACAATTCTAAAACATTTTAGGGGGCATGCTCACTGCACATGTGGAGGTCAGAGGACACTTGTGGAGGTCAGTTCTCTCCTTTCACTGTGTGAGTTTCAGGGATTGAAATCAGGTGTCCGAGCTTGGTGGCAAGCATCTTTATGGTATGAATCATTTCGCCGGACCTGGATATTTCCTTTTGACCTATCTTCTTTTAACCCAATTCTTTCTTTGGCTGAATTGAATCCATTCTCCAACCATCCCTAGAATGTTTTTTCATTCCTTGTTTTTAAGTCCTTGTTACTCAGAGGGAGAGGAGGGAGGGAAGACGTGAGTCACTTGGAGGATCAGCCCACAGATGCCCCAGGAATGAGTACCACTGATCCAGCTGAGCAAGAGGTCCCAAAGCTTTAGTTATCCAGTGTCACAGACTGCAGGGAGCCCAGGGGGTTCTCCATCCTGAGAGGAGGTCCCTGAGTTCTTCAGTGGCCATGTGTGGCTCTGGATGTGGGGTCCCTGAAGGCAGATGGGACACGGGCCCATGAACGCATCTACGAAGAACAGATATCGTAAGCAAACTGTTCCGCAGTTCAGTGATTAGACACTGAAATCCAAGTGTGCACAGCACCATCACCAATGGGTCAGGGATGAAATCTCAGCATTTATTTATTTACATATTGACTTATTGTATTGCTGGGGATCAAACGCAGCTACGTGGATTCGCCAGGCTAGTGCTCTATCATTCAGCTATATCCTTGGCCTGAATCTTTTTCCTTTCTTTTTCTCTGTTTTGTTTTTTATTTTTTGTTTTTTGAGACAGGGTTTCTCTGTGTAGCCCTGACTGTCCGGGAACTTACTCTCTGTAGACCAGGCTGGCCTCAAACTCAGAGATCCACCTGCCTCTGCTTCCCAAATACTGGGATTAAAGGAGTTATGCCACCACTGTCTGGTGAATCTCTTCATTTTTAATTCCAATTACTGTTACAATCATTTGTAACACTATTCCTTTTTATTTATTTATTATTTTTTATTTTACTTATTTATTCTTTTTCAAATTTTACATTTTTATTTGCTTTTATGGTGTGAAGGTTTTGCCTTGCATGCATGTCTGCTTGCTGTGTGTGCCTGGTCCCTGAAGGGTCAGAAGAGGGTGTCAGACCCCCTGGAACTGGAGTCACAGAAGATTGTGAGCCACGCTGTGGGTGCCGGGACAAGGTCTTCCAACGTAGCTCAGGCTGCCCTTGCGTTTGCAATCCTCCTGCCTCAGCCTCATGAGTGCTGGAGATTGGAGACATGTGTCACCACACGTGGCCAATATTTAAACTTTTTGTCATTGTTGTTTCCAAGACAGGGTTTCTGTATACAGCAGCCCTGGCTGTCCCGGAACTCTTTCGGTAGCCCAGGCTGGCCTGAACTCACAGAGATCCGCCTGCCTCACCTCCCAAGTGCGGGGATTAAAGGCGTGCGTCACCACTGCCCGGCCAATATCCCAACTTTTAAGGCTTTCTTCAGCTTGAGGGCTGGTCAGAATAATCCATCATTATCACAAAAACTCTGCAGTGACCTGAACAGAAAATACGGCTGGTCCTCATGTGTGTGAGTCTAGGCAGCCCATCTTCACAGTGTCTTCCAAGGGCCTGGCAGGTCGGGCCAGGCTGCCTCTCTACAAGCCCAGCTCCGTTCCTTCACACTCAGCTGTCTTGTGCCTGAGGTGCTCTTGGTTTTGGGTGTAAGCAGGTGCTGAGACAACAGCCTGGCTGAGGTCTGTTTGCCTCCCTGGCTTGGCAACCACCTCCCTGGAAGAAGTCTTCATCATTACAAATGTCAGGGGAGGCACAGAAGAATGTACAGCCCAGAGCAACAGGGCTTGTCCTCGAGGGAGACCGAGGCTCACGAAGAAGAGGTGGAGCCTCACTGGTGAAATTATTAAGGCCACTCCACGTAGTTAAAGGAAGATTTATTTAGTGGGCAACTTACAAAAGAGGGAAAGGTCGGTGGTGGGGTCTGGGGAAGGTGTATGGAAGTCCAGCGGTCTTCTCTGGAGTTCTGCTCGGTCAACCTCCACCGTCTAGGGTCCAGGAACCCAGAGAGTGCTGGCCCATCCAGATCTCGGGTCTCCAGGTGCCTCCCCTGGCCCTGCCTTGTAGGCGTGACAGTTGCCGAAGCCTCAATGGGGGTTGGAACTTCCAGATGGAAGCTGGAATGGCTACCCACTACAGAGCCTGGTGAGAGTGGAGGCTGGGAAGCTGGTGCGCGGTGGTGAGGCTGGGCCCAGGCGGAGGCTGTAGACACAGAGACGGGGAAGATTTTGGAAGGAGTCTAAAGTTGATGGACAGATCTGGCAATGGCTTACCTCTGGGGCTGAGAGCAGGGAGAAACTGAGTCTCTGCTGACACCTCTGGGGGTGAAAGGGCGTCCTTGAAGGTTAAGGAGGTCTGGAGGGGAAGCCAGCCTGGTGGGGTGCTGGAGGGCTCGGCATCAAGAGCTCCAGTTTGGGCCAAGGTGTCTCTGGGTCAGGCGCTTCCAGGAAGGTGGCCGGGATTTAGAGACCAGGGATGATACAGTAGCTGCTTACGCGGTCCAGCCTCCAGTCTCAGTGGGTTTGGGGGCTCTTCTCTGGGGATCCTTTCCTCTTGGAGGGGCTTGGGGAGACACCGGAAACAGCTTCATCTGCTTATCTCCTTCGTTCTCCACCATGAGGTGAACAAATAGTGGCTGGGTTATCACCTGTCTGGTCGTGAGCAGCAGTTTCTCACGCTGACCACTCGACGATACCATCACTCTGTGGTGAAGAGACTCAAGCTTGTTCCACTTGCTCAGCCACAGAACCAGACTCATCTTCCACAATATGCTCAGGGTAGGATTAGTCTGAGGCTCACAGTGTCCCCTGACATGTCCCTAGTGGGGTTTGCTCTTTCTGTGTGCCCACCACAGGGACGGGAGCCTTCCAAGGAGGAATTTGTCACGCTTAGAGCAGTGCCTGGACATTGAGAGCTTCCAGCACCTTCTGTTTCTTTGTGTTTCTAACCAAGGGCCACTGGCCTTTCCATGAAAAAGAGCCAATGACAACCAAGTCCTCACCAGATCTGCCATCTAAAACCGCCACAAGTGTAGTCAGTCCCCTCAGTCTCCTCGCTGAGGTGCCCAATTGGGTCTAACACGGAGTTATTGGAGCTTCGCTCACTAAGATTTCCACGAGAGTTTGGGCCTAGCATGTCGCCACCGTTCCTTCTGCCGAGACCCCCCCATCCCCCCCCCCCCCCCCGGGATGCTGGAAGGACCCTGACGGCTCACGGAAGTCCATTAATGAAATCCAGGCCGGGAGGGAAGAAGGCTTTCCTGTTGGAGTTTGCAGGGATGATGGAATACCCTTACCCACTGTGAGCGTGCTTTCAAACATAGGAAATGACTCCTGTGCGTCCACACGCCTGCCGGAACACTGTGTAACCCCAGGACCCTGACCTGACTACCCCTGGCAGCTCTCTCCTGCCTCCTGCCCACGGCACTCAGGCACACTGGCCTCCTGTCCAAATGTGCTCCGAATGGCCAGCTCTTTCCTAACCTTTAGAACAGGCTTAGCTTCTTAACTATTTCTACTCATGACCCCTTTTCACCCGAAGGAAACTTACACAGCCCCGGGTATATAAGTATATAAAATTGGCATTTAAACATTAACAGACACATTTATAAGGAAATTATTTTAAAAACAATTCTTTGTCATACATATAAGTTTACCATTTACTCAAGAAGAAAGCAGGTCTGTTATTGATGAGGTAATGGTATATCTGCTTGTTTCACACAAAGGGTTAAATGTTCCCTAACTGACACTGTAGGCCAGAAAGCATCCTTAACACTTCTCAGAGTGGATCAGGATTTTTAAAATAGATTTATTTTTATTATTTTTTTAATTATATGCATATGTATGTGTATGTGCGTGGGTATATCTGCACATGTGAGTGCAGATTCCTGTGGAGGCCAGAAGAGGGCATCAGATTCTCTGGGAGCTGGAGTTATAGGCAGTTGTGAGCCATCCTTCTGTATTAGTTAATTTCCCTCTCCTTCCTTCCTGAGACAGAGTGTCTCTATGTAGTCCTGGCTGTCCCAGAACTCACTATTTGGACCAGACTGGCCCCGAACCCACAGCGATCTGCCTGCCTCTGGCTCCTGAGTGTGCCATCACACCTGGCCTGGTTAAATTTTTGTTGCTGTGATAAAACAAGCGACTTACAGAAGGAAGGGTTTATTTGGGCTTATGGTTCTGAAGGGATGAAAGTCCGTCATGATGGAGAAGCGGCAGCAGCCACAGCCGCAGTGGCTGGGACAGCTGAGAGCTTACATCTTGAACAAATAGAAGGAAACAGAGAAAGTGGCACTTCAAAGCCGGCCACAGTGACCCGCCTCCTTTAACAAGGCCACGCCCCCTAGACATCCCAAACAGCACCACCCCCTAGGAACCAAGTATTCAAACACCTGAGCCCATGGGGGATGTTCTCATTCAAACCACTACCAAAACATGCGTGCCAGGAACCGAACACTGCCTCCCCCCAAGAGCAGTACATGCTCTTAGCTGCTGAGCCGTCTCTCTAGTCCCCACTGATGAAGTTTTTAATTTTATATTTATCATCAGTTCTGAGAACACTGCAAAGCAGTGAGCAAACACAGTACAGAATGGCAGAGGTGTGCTTAGAGCCATTTCAGAAACTGCTGGGAATTCCGGTTTGCTCTCAAGTCCAAATTCATTTAACCATTTTTAAAAACGCAAGTCAAGTCAGCAATTCAGTGTTTTGTTTTCTTCTTAAACTAGGCACTCTAACATAACACAGTACACAGGTCTGCTGATGCATGCTGAGAAATGACGGGAGGAGAAACATTAAAGTTTTCGTTTTCTGTAATTAAACCATGTTCCTATAAGAACAGTAAACTCGGCAAGAATAGTAAAAATTGTGACTGACAGCTTCAGAATGGGCTTGAATCTGGGTCCAGGTGTTTCAAGCAGTGATCACTGGCCCATGGTGGCAAGAGGCAGGCCCAAGACACCATGTGCCTGTTGCGTGCCCAGAACTAGACTGCAGTGAGGTCACACTATGCCCCACGACTGTCAACACCTCGCCTAGAATTCATGACCTGTTGATTCTGGGCTCCTTTTTGGTTATTCTGCATCCAGAAACTTTTTTTTTAATAAAATTTTTTTTTTTGGTTTTTTTGAGACAGGGTTTCTCTGTGCCGTTTTGTGCCTTTCCTGGAACTCACTCTGTAGACCAGGCTGGCCTCGAACTCACAGAGATCCACCTGGCTCTGCCTCC